AAACTTGTTTATTTTCTTGGTAAAATCACTTATATCATGGAGTCTAAGGAACAGTCTGTAGTTCCATGCTCCTCTGCAGAATCAAAATACCAAGCTATTACACAATCGCTCCTTCTGAAATGATATGGTTGCTTTGCTTACTCTTTGATTTATGGGTCTCTACTTCTCGCTTATCTATTTTATATTGGACAATAGGGTAACTCTGCATATTTATGCAAGTCCAGTATTTCATAAATGCACCAAGCATATTAAAGAAGATTGTCATTTTCTTCGTGAAAACCTCAAGTCTAAGGACTTAGTTACTGATCACTTATTTTTTCTACTGGCCAGCAAGCAGATATCTTCACTAAGGCTTTAGGTCCTGATTGTTTTCTCCATATACTCACTAAGTTGGGCATTATAGACCTTCATGCTCTAACTTGAGGGGAAGTATTGAAGATATTTTGTGTACCTTTATTATTCTCTGTATGTTTTATTTAGGGAAAATAGCTAAATTGATATATTTTGTAGACACTTGGTGACAGAATGATATATATATTTTTTTAATTTTTAACAAATTGGTATATTATATAGAATCCGACGGCATATACCCCTTAAGTTTGGCTGGATCCATTTTTCCAGTCAGTTTTCTCACGTGACAGGCTCACGTGATGCCCAGCTGGCAGGATTTATTACACAAAGAACTACAAAAGTAAAATGAGACTATCAACTAATAAAAGAAAAGACTAGGCTTCGGTTTCTTCTACTCTGTCTGCGAAGCACTCCTGCTGAGAATACCCGGGCCTTAGCGTGTCTCCAAGCTGGACCTGTCCATCCTCTAAGTCTGACGTACACCAGAGAAAAACAGGTGTACGTCAGCGTGCATGACACACGACAATAAAACCGTCCTCATAGGCCTAAGGGAACGGTTACTCATCCGATACCTTTGCCGCCGTAGTGCTTGGTCTAAGGGCATGGTTCATGATCCAAGTAGCGCGGTTCTTGAACTATTTCCGTTTATAACATTTGGGGACGGTTTACCTGTGAGGACGGTTTATATTTTTGCAGATGGTGACGGTTATTTAGTAATGGGAACATTTTTAATTTTAAGCTATTGAGACGCTTACACACCAAGTGGACAGTTTCGAGCTTGACCTAGGAGGACGGTTATATTGTCTATAGGAACGATTTTGTTTGTGATCTACGGAGATGGTTTTTATACCAAAGAAGAGGTTAGCTATGGGGACGGTTTTTAGCAATATGAACGATTTTCAGATGTAAAGATATAGGAACGAGTATATATAGCAAAGGGGGCGGTTTTCAATTTTGGCCGTGCAAAAACAAATCATCCAGATATATCACATATTTTTTTGACCTGCATCTTCAAAATTAAAAAAACAAAACAAAATAAAAACTCCATGATTTATACCTGCTCATGTCACAAACAAAGAAATGAAACTCTAAATTTTGCAAGCAAATTAACAACCAAACATAAGGAACAATTCATTGGTTCATTAAAATGACTTTAGTACAAGTTTTTTCTTTTGTCCAAAGTACATGACTAAAATTCTTTTTTCATTAAAACAAAAAATGTCTTTTGTTTAAAGGTCTTCATTGCTATACATAATTTATAAATTGTCTCGATAGAGCTAATCTCGTTGTAAGTGAAAAGCACCCATGGATTCACCTGTTTCAGCCACCATCAATTTTCCTGCATGAATTTAGATAAAAAGGTAAAAATGAGATTATATTCATTGTAAGATTCAATCACTTGAATATATGCTTTAAAATTTTAAATGACCAACTACATATGCTTTCTTGCTGTAATCATACATCAAAACCCTATTTAACTTTATGACTTCAAAGTCTTCTCCAATTAGCTCTTCGCCGATGGACTTGGATACTCTACATTATAGATAGGTAGTGGAGAATCCACTCTTTGAAAAGCACCCATGGATTCACCTGTTTTAAAAGGGATGCTTTCAGTAGACACTATTAGTTTCAACAAAGTTTTAAACATGGTGTAACAGCTAAGCTTTTAGCAGTTCATCTAATTTTTAACGTTTTAGACTTTTTTTATTATGGTAAAATATAACTAAAACTAAGATTTGTAATTTTTTTAGTACACAATGTTGTTACCATGTAGTGGTAATATATGCAATGTACAACAGACACCCGTAGGCACCCAGTTTAGTTCTTTGACAAAATGAAAACTAAGTGATGAAACCACTTTGTGATGCTTGCAGCAAAGAAAAAGCTCCTTTTTTCAGTAGGTGTGATGAACTCCTAGGTGAACATAGATATAGATTTGAGAAACTTAAAATGAAAAATTATAATAGGAGATACAAGCAAAAGGCACGTTTCAAATGCTATTTTTTTCATGCAATAAGCAAAATAATTCCAAAAGTCTAGAGTTGTCTTATCATATTATTCGATCATGGAAAAAACACGTGACTCAGTTATTAATACTATATTAAATGAAACCAAATGATATACCAATTTTTTGCTAACAGAAAGAAACGATGCAGTTAATAAATAATATTAAACGAAACCAATTGATATACCAACTTTTTGCGAATCCTGGAAAAACTTATTGACCCTGTAGTTTGTGTATATTCTTGATCATCATGATTTGCTTTATTGGTCTCATTTATTGTCTACACAATTATAATTTAGGAACAAAATTTATTGTAATTCCTAAAAACAATCAAAGTCACTATCCACAGACACATTTAATTTAGCAAATGTAATAGTTTATAGCAGAGTACTAATTAGATATCAAATTACCTACTGGAAAGTCAGACCCATATTGGTTAGCGCAGTCATTTAGAAAAACTTGTTAGGCTAGACAATTGCTGCATCATTAGACAATTTGCTTCCAAATTTCATGTGAAATTCATTTTACAGCTAGAAAAACTTTTAAAAAAACATTTATAAAATGAATAGTTGAGAATAGTGGTGGGATTTTTGTGAAGAACCATCTATGTACAAGACAATATTCAAAAAGTGACTTATGATAATAGGTAATTATAGAAATTCCACAGTAGAGAGATTAAGAGAAAAACAGGAGTAAATAATAGGTTACATAGCCAAGATACAGATGTTTCCTTCCGATGATGCAGGAAATGTTTCCTTCAGAATTAGTACATGTATGGAAAAAACTATCATGAGTTCAACCGAGATAAATTAAAGTGGCAGATAAAATAAAAGTCGGCATCATCAAAATGGAATAATGGTACATTCTGCAATTGTGAGGCGAGAAGCAAGGAAAAGGCAAGACCTATGACGTTTGGGAGCATCTTGTAAGGCGAGAAGCAAGGAAAATGTGAGACCTATGACGTTGGCGACGAGGAGTCATTTCACATAAGTTTCAGAGGCTTGCACACGTGATAAGGGAAGATCATCTGTATCCAAATCCATCCCCATAGTGTTTAATGATTATAAAAGTGTTTAATCAATATTTTCATACTTAAGGCTTAACCTAATATGTTAAATATGAGATTATTAATGATAAATCTTAACCCAATGCTAGATCATTAGCTTTTCCTAATTGTTTTTTATTGTAACATGATCATGATCATTAGGGGTGATTAAATTTTCATTTTTTTAAACTTGATAATTATGTTTAACTCGCGTGTTAACCCTAATTTGTTGTTTAATTGAATTATAAAGAGGTTTAGTTTTTGTTTTTATCATAGATTGCAGAAAACTGCTACACGTGTATAACATTTAACTAGAAATTTAAGATATTATATAAACTCCAAACTAAACAAAACTAGTGTTAAATGAAACCTATATGAATCTAATTTCCAAAGTGTAAAACCATTCTAAGAAAGAGTTTTTATAGCGAAAGATATACTCAATTTACTAATGACATATTCTGTAAAAAACTACTGCACATGTATAACATTTAACTAGAAATGTGAGATATTATATAAAC